CCGCTCCCTCTCTGAGACCAGGACCCAGAGAAACCAGGACCAGGAAGAACCGTTTAGTTTATTTTGTCCTTTTTCTCGTTAGAAACTCTGTGGACAGAAATGAACCTGAATCCACAGCAGACTCTCGTTTATCGTCTCAGCTTCACTTTATTTTCATCGAGGAGTAAAAAGGTCAAAATTGTGATGATGAAGCGATAAAAGACCTCGATCCTCCTCCAAACCTCGGCGTTTAGTTTTCAGACTCTCCAGGAATAATAAAAAAAGGAGCTGCAGAGAAAATCTGTTTGTTTCTTTCTTGTGAAACTTTTATTTTTCTAACTTTCTCTAAAATCTTGAAACGTCTCTTCGTGTTGCGTCTCCTCAGCTCCTCAGTCGACTTGATCGTTTCCTAATATTTCCTCAAAAACATCTTTTTTTCGTTTGCAGAAACGTCGTCCTCTGCTGTTGTTTTTCTTTATTTCTCGGTTGAGTCCAATCGTCAGTTTATTTGTTCATTCGCTGAAGTCCAAACGAGTCTTCGAGTTTCTTCTCTCCACAGAAACTCTGATTGGAGAGTCTGCGCTGTTTCACACGAGGAGCCGAAGTGAGTCAGAGTTTGTGTTTTTAAACGAGAGAGACGTCGTTTGGAGGAAAGATCGATCTGCAGCTCGGTGGACTGTTCGGATTATTCCGAGTAACAAACGAACTTCATGATAAAAGTCCAACAGAACGGAGTTTATTAGTGGGCGGGGACGATATGATAATGAGGAGTTGTGCTGATTGGCTGCATGTTGCCTGAGAGCGGGAAGGAGCGGACTGATGTAGAGGCGGAAAAACACAGACAAGTTTGGCGAGCCGTCCAGGAGAACCAGAATCTGACCCGAACGGTAGGAGTGGGAGCGATCTTCATGAATGCCAGTTTACTGCTCCCACAGAGTCCTGGTTCTGATCATATGGGACCCCTGAGAGTCTGGGCTCGAGTCCTTAAAGGGATATTCCGGCATAAACCGAGTTAGACCCCCCCTGAGTCTAACTCTGCAGAAGCTGCAGCTCCTGTTCCTGTCGGCTCCAAACACCTGCGTTCACGTTTTTTAAAAAGTTAGTAAATCTATAAAAAGTTGTTTTTCTGCAGGAAGTTCCAGTTTTAACGGTTTGTGGACACGAGGAGGAAAGAGAAGCGCCCCCTCTGTCGGCCATATTGGAGCGTCAGCTGTTGTGTAACCGAGTCTGACTGTACAGCTGATGGAACAGCTGCTCGCCGCTCGTCCAGCTGAACACAAACGATTTTTTTTCTGTCCTCACTTCAGAGGAAGTGAGCGTCGACGAAAACAGAGAAAAGTCTATAAAAAAACGAGAACTGAGGAGGAAACGGAACCTCTGCGGGTCTACAGGACCGAGGCAGGGCTCTGGATCAGAACAAAGAACCAGGATGAAGAGGTCTGGTCTGGTCTGGTCCTGGTCAAGGTTCCTCACTCAGACCAATAACGGATCACGATACAAAACAGTTCAGAGGAAGTGGGCCGTCATTAAACTGGTTTAATAAGTTGACGGTTAAATAACAATTAAACTGGTTTATTGATGGTTTAACTGGTTTAATTAGTTGATGGTTTTATAACAAGTAAACTAGTTTAATGATGATCTAACTGGTTTAATAGTTGACGTTTAAACTGGTGTTTGAAGAGGAAATGTAAAAACTCTCGGTGAGTCTTGATCTGAAGTTTGAGTCTCTTTAAGGACACGGTTTGATATTTAACAGGAGTTTGTTTGTAACACAGTGAGTCCATCTGTGTGTGTGTGTGTGTGTGTGTGTGTGTGTGTGTGTGTGTGTGTGTGTGTGTGTGTGTGTGTGTGTGTGTGTGTGTGTGTGTTACTGTCCATTGTCCTGTGTGTGTAATGGCAGCCGCGGCCCCCTTTAATCACTCCCACACAAACACAACTTTAACACACGGATTAGGAGAGAGAGCGCCGCTCCGTCGCTCGGTCGGTCGGCCCGCTGGCTCGCCGGCTCGCCGCTCAGGTCTGCGGTGGTTATTTCACAGAGTGTCCCAGTTCCCAGCAGCACCAGGCGACCAGGAGCGGCGGCTCCTGGCACAGCGACTGTTTTTTAATCCCTCTCTCTCTCTCTCTCTCTCTCTCTCTCTTTCTTCCTCTCTCTCCTTTTTTGTGAATAATGTGGGAATGATCTCGTGAGTTCTTGTGAAGCTGACATTTCTCTCGTGTTAAAAACATTTGACAGCTTTTAATACTTTTTCCCCTCCCTTCTGTCCACTTCAGGTGCGAATAGGATTCGCCGCCATCGCCGCCCCCGCTGCTGGAAACGTACAGGAGGAGAGAAAAGACGAGGTGGACGCAGAATGGAGCAACAAAAAGAAGAGTTTTTTTAATGATCAGATATTGTATTTTTTCTTTTTCTCTCTTTTTTTTTTTTTTTTCCTTTTTTACCGATTTTTTATCTCTTGATTGTCGCAGCCCGGATCACGCACAACATCCTCCTCCGTCCAGTAATCTCGTCAGAAACCCGGCCTGAAGCGACCCCTCTGCAGATGTGAGGTTGACAACAAAAAGATGAGTTTAAATAAGAGCACGGCTCCCAAATTAAAATCAGGAGAGAGCAAGGGGAAATTCAGGGTCACAATCTGCCAGGATAATTGAAATTTCTCTCCCCATTTCTCCCTCCTTTTATCCTCCTTTCATTTGCTCCAACAATAGCGTGACAATACGAGAGAAAGTCTTCACCCTGTGTTTGCAGAGACGACACGAAACCGTCATCAACACACAAACACCGTCAGAGGAGAAACGCCGTAAACAATCCAAGTTAGCCATCCGAGTGTCCTCAGCGAGCGGCTCCAGAATTCAGTTTTTGATTGGATTAAAAAAACTTTTAAAATCCTGTAATTATCAGTGAAATTATGGCAACAATCCTGCAGCAGATGGACTCTGCTCAGATTTATCCTGGCAGTTCATTGTTGTCAAAACCTTAATTTCCCACAATGCAACAGGAAGTAAGAAACTGTGCAAAGTGAAACACTCTGCAGACTCACCGTAAATATGACCCACGACAAAAACTCACAACTCACTCGTCTATCTGTCGTCTGTTTTCATTTCGACCCTTTTTTCCCCACAAAAACCCTCCCTGAGTCTCACCTTTAAATTTCATATTAAACTGAATATATCTCTGACTCTAAAAAACCGTGTGGGTAATAATAATAATAAAAATGTGGCTTTGTTAAATTTGAAGCCGTCCCTTTAAAGGGGAGCTTCCTCAGCGTCCCAGCGGCTCGGTTTGGAAATGTAAGTATTCAGAAATGAAAATCCGGGGAAAGCTTTCGCATGATTTTTAGAGGTGGTTTGGGGATGAAAGCGAATCTGTTCCACATGCATTTTTCATACCAGTGTAAATATTTAAGCATTTAATTGAGCTTTTTAATGACTTCATGTTTTAACGGCACCTTAAGGAGGTTTATCTCCGACTGCTTTTTACCCCCGTGAACCAAAACCTCCAGTTTGCACAAATCAGACGAAAGCTGCGTAAAAAGTTTTTTGCACTTTTTAAAAGTTTATTGAACCTCCCACTAAAATCTAAGGAACGTCCCTTTAATGTTGGAAACTCTAAACTTCCCCTTTAAATGATCCGAACTTTACCTAAAGGCGGGAAAACAACCCTGAGCTTTCCCTTTAAGCCCCGCTGAAGGCAGCGGCGTGGCTCTGCTGAGAGGGGGGGGATTAGCGGTTGTGAACCCTGACGGGCGGATGTTTGATGCAGAGGTGATGTTGTGTGTGACCTGAGGAAGAGGAGGAGGAGGAGGAGGAGGAGGAGGGTGAACCGGAGCACTGAATGTGTGCCTGCAGCAGCAGCAGCAGCAGCAGCAGTCCTGACTGTACACAGAAACAGATCAACTGACCGACAGATAAACAGACGGACAGACGGACAGGGTGGATTTCAAACAAACAAACAAACAAGAAATAAAAAAAACAACAACAACAACAACAACAAACGCCGAGTGCCAAAGCTGGGATCTGCTGCATTCTCACTACACTTTAAAAAAAGGGTTCTTCTTCTTCTTCTTCTTGTAAATAGGACATCTATGTTTGTTTGTTCGTTTGTTTGTTTGTTTGTTTGTTTTGTTTTTCCTGTATTGCTACGGATTTGTAAAATTTTGCGGTAAAAGAAAATTTGTTACATTTTGTAAAATGGGAGCAACCCGTCCCCCCGAAACCCTCCATCTTTACGTTTTTAGACCTCCTCTCGGTTTCTCTCAGCTCTTTTTGTTTTTTTGTTTTTTTTTTTTGTTTCTTTTCGGTTGATGGACTTTTAAAAACAAACGGTGCCAGCATCGGTATGTTTTATTTTTTTTTCTTCTTCTCCTTCTTTCTCCCTCCGTCGCTCTCTCCCTTTTTGTACTGAACCAGAGTGGAACCACTACAGAAAAAAAGAAAAACCGAACAAAACAACAAAAAAAAAGACGGACCGGTTGGCAATACTTCAGTCACTACTTCTTCATCTCACCGGCACTGGACTTCCGCCCGCCACTTCCCCGCTGAGAGGAGAGGAGGAGGGGGAGGAGGAGGAGGAGGAGGAGGAGGAGGAGGAAGAGGGGGGACTTCGCTTCATATCTAATCAGATTTGAAAAACAAAACACAAAAAAGCACCTTTGGACCTTTTTTCTTTTTTTTTTTACTGTGCTGAAGTGAAGTCAAGTGCTATTATTATATTATATTATTATTATTATTATTATTATTATTATTGTAGCCACTCTGTCTGGAACCCTTTTTTGAAGAAAAAGCAAAAGAAAAGAAACACAGAAAAAAAAAAAAAAAAGAAACTTAAGCCAATCTGCACTTCTCGTTCCGACGAACATGCTTGTATGACCAAGTGACTGTCGTGAATTTTTTTTTTTTTTTTTTTTGTTCAAACCGATAAGGAACAAACAACAACAACAACAACATCATGTGAAAAAAAAACAACAAAAAAAATACGCAGTTTGAGAAACTGTCAAAACGGTGGCAAAGCGCAGAAGGATTCAACGGTAACGACTCACAACACACACTCTCGACAGTAAAAACCACAACCCAGAATCATGCTGCCTGAATCGTACTTTCATCTCTCTCTCTTTTTCTCTCTTTTCTCTCCTCGCTCTGTCACTTTGTCCTCTTTCTGCACCTTCTTTTCTCCTCTCCTTCTCTCTTTTCTCTGTTTTTCCTTTTCCTCGTTTGTTAATTGTTTTTTTTATTTCTCTCTCTCTCTCTCTCTCTCTCTCTCTCCGTCTCTCTCTCTGTCTCTTCTTCTTCTTCTTCTTCTTCGTCGTCCTGCACACCATCATACACACCTGTAATAAAAGAAAAACCTACAAAAAAAAGATAAATAGCCTTTTATTCATACATAACTACATGTTGGCTTGGTAGGCTTAGTTGAAACTAGTTCCATTCCGACAAAAAAGAATAATAGTAAAAACAAATATGAGCTTCTTTATGTATTGCTTCTGCCGCTGTAGTGTCCTGGTCAGATTTAAAGATAATACTACATATATCTGAAATACTGTATTTACAAATGCATACCAGGGCTGGCCTCAACAAACAATAATGGGGGGGGGGGGGTCTGCTCCGTCCACTGCTCGTCCGAGTCTGTCTGATGCTCGTTCCTCCGCCGCTTCAAGTCTTCATAGTTTCTTTAACTCGTGGCGTTCAGCATCACTAAAGCGCTCTGCTGCTGCGCGTCCGTCTGCAAAAAGAGAAGAAGAAGCAGCGCTGTAAAGAGACGCTCTCCTGTTGTTCGCACAGCCTTAGAAAGCTCAAAGAGACTCTTATTTTTGCAGGTGTATAGTTTAAAGTGAGTATTTGACAGATGAATGATTGAATGTATTTGCTTTGAGGAGTTCAGTAAATGTTGTGGGTTTACTGTCTGAATGTTCCAGGAGGAACGGCTCGAGCACACTCGGCGGCGCGCTCTTCGTGTTTTCATGGTTTTTATCGCGTTTGTGTTCAGATCCCTCTCAGAGTCCACACATGCACTTTGACTTCCACAAAAAAGACCCTGTTTGGAGTAAACAGTAAAAACAACAAAAAATACAAATTCAAAACCAACTAAAACCAACGTGCACACCGACAAATCATCCACAAACAATCCTTAAAGACAAGAAAACATCAAATGAGCAGAATTACGATAAAACTACAATCCCAAATCACTGCACTTGTTTTCTGCACTCGAGCTGCTGCAGCCATGAAGAAAAACGACACTTCTGCACTTTTGAACGGCACGAAAAGACGCGGCTCAGCGGACAAATCAACGTTTATATGCACTTTATGTCAAAAACAATGAAAATATCAGAGATAAGCTTTAGAAACCGCCAACGAGCCGAGCGCACCAGTGCAGATAATCCAACTGATGTTAGCGGGACCTGAGCGTCACACTGCAGTCACATCAGATACATATCTGATTTACATCCACATACAGAAGAGGCCTGGGTCGGATTAGAACCAATCAGAACTGACCTGTTCACACTTAGATGAAAACATCAGATATGAGTCACAGATGGTTAAAACATCAGAATGACCTGCAGTCTGAACGTCGACTTAGAGGCACTTTTTTAATGATAAACCAAAAACTTAATTTCAGCACCTTTATTTGATTCACAGACTCGGAACCTTCAGAGAAACGCTTTAGGTCGTTCATATCGACTCAAAACGCAAGAGAGGAAAATTCAAAACATGCGATTAAAAATTCAGCGATTAATCGAAAGTTTAGAATCCAGATCGATCCACATGTCGCTCGAGGCGATGCTGTTATTTCAGTTATTTCTGCAGCATGTTTCTAAAACTCGGAGGGTTGTTGTTGTTTCGTCTTTCTAAGTTTTCAAATGACTAACAGGCCGAGTCCAAAACCACAAAGACGTGTTTTCTGGTCTCAGTCATCATAAGTAAACCATTATCGTAAAATCACATCTGTCAGCGGCACGTTTGATCCTTTCAGCCAATAAAACATCAGGAAAAGCCTAAAATCACTGCAGCTCTATTTTAAATAGTTCTACATTAATTTAAAGAGAAAAAACGACAAAGAGCTTCTTCTTCATTCATCCTCAAACCTGCAGAGAAAATAACAAAAGATTGACAAGGTTGGTTCTGAGTGAAATGAGACTTTTCTCCCAACTCTCCTTGTAAGCAGTTTTATTTTTTAGCTGCCTTGTTGTTGTTTTTTAAAGCTAATTAGTCTGAAAAAGTTCCCAGACAACAAGAGCAAACAGTTTTGATCTTCAGCATGAAGTGAAACCTTGGACACAAAACCTGGCAAAGTAGCTGCTGGCATCAAATTAGTCTGAAGTTTCCAAAGGTAACCTTTAAAAGACTCAAATCTTCAACAAAAAAAAAGTCACTCCACTTCTTCAGGCGGCCGTGAAATGTTGTTTACTCCTATAGTAAAGTCTGCAGATTTACAGCTGAGTCAGAAAACTGAACTTTAGAGTTTCAGACCTCGGCGGCGGCGGCGGCGAGGAGGTTCAAAAACCGACTGAAAGTCAAATAGATGTCTTTGAAGGATATCAGCAAACGAGACGATTTGATCATAGCTCCGAGTCTACTCAAACAAAACCTGTGTAAACTCTGAGTTTGTTAACTATCATTAGATCAGGATTAAACACCGTCTTTAACCCAGAATGTAAACAGCTCCACGCCGCCGCCGCCGCCGTCATTCATCGCCTACTTTTTTATTTTCACTCACGAATGTTCGAATGTCCGCTCAGAAGGTCTCCGATAAATCCAGAGTCCAGATCAGACCGCGGCGTGCTCGAGTCCTTCCTTCCTCTGTTTCGTTTAAAGTCACTCTATCTGCTCGGTATGACATAGATCTACGGCGTGCACCTGGTTTTCCCAGAGATCTGACAGGATTGACCTTCACCTGATCGCACAGGAGGTCAGATTGAACTTTTACAGTTTAAAAGAAAGTCAGAAATTAAAACGAATCTTTTTACATTCAAGCTGAAAAAAGCTCTAGATCTGAACCTTCTAGATCTGAACCTTCTAGATCTGAACCCTCTAGATCTGAACCCTCTAGATCTGAACCCTCTAGATCTGAACCCTGAAGAGTCACCTGCAGACGCCGCGTTTCGATTCTGAACGTTTGTTAAAATTGAAGGTGAGGCGTTCCAGGAAATCCAGCTTCCCAAAGATGTTTTCACTCCTGACATTTTTCCAATAGTAACCTCTTGAGCGGCGCTCTCGACCTGCCGAGCGGCGAGGACAAAATGGTTTCATTTTTAAGAAAATGACACATCTAATGCGGCGTAGTTGTCAAGATATTCTGGTGTGTTTTTGTCCCCGGCGTTCAGCTGACTTCAGTTTTAAAATTGGATTTTGGCACTTTGATTTTAACGCCAATCACGGCGAGTTTGAGACAGAAGAGAAAGTAAAAGTACCGTCTGTCAAAGGTGATTGCACTGATTGTACTTTCGGATCCAGCACTCTCAAATTTGCCACTTTAAAAGCTCAGAGACATTTTTTTTTCTTCTCTTGAATCAATCAAAACATGACCCACACAGAGGGATTTTAAGACAAAAGTTTGAGGCTTTTTAAAACCCTGTGATTGATTCAGAGTTCCTACAATAAAAACCCCACGAGTGGGAGGTGCTGACGGGGTTCGAGCGCAGCTGCGTTTTCAAATCAGCGCTGATAACTGAGGTATTATCTTTGCACGATTACAATCACGAACAAACATCCTTAAAAAAGAAACCCAAAAGTCTCGGTGAGTGCTTGTAGTTTGATTAGACAGCTCTGGTCTTTAAAGCGGATAAAAACAGAGGAGTCAGGAGGCCTGTTTTTGGCCACATTTTGATTAAAAGGTAGACGTGTTTCAGATCTCTCTGAAGTCGGACGTGTTTCCCTTGAGACTGGAGTGTAGATTAAACTGCGACTGATAAAGACACAACAAAGAGAGGATTTTTAACACCCCGACAAACGTTGGCGAGGAGAAAATTTAACTATTAGGAGAGAGTGGAGCTGTTTACTGTCTGCTGGTGCTGTTAATTGGAAAGCTGAGGAGAAGGAGTCATCGTGGCTCTTTGTGTTTGTGAGGAGGAGGTCAGTCTGTGATGGTTCTGGGGAAACCAGGTCCACGACCGTCTTTAAAGAGGAGTTGAGGCCAGCCCTGCTTCATAACTGAGGTTCTGCTTCTTCTACTACTGCTACTATCAAACAACCAGCCCTGGGCGCAAAAACAGGCCTGAACGCTCTTTCGGACTCCGGGTGCGTTTCGTTTTTAAAAACTCACATACCAGCATTTTTAAAAAGTCTAAAACGGAGAAGAGATGTTTCAGTTACCGCGGTGACGGAGGCTCTCTGACTCCCCGCCTGCGGTTCACAGCGGAGCTTCGTCTCCCTCAGTCTGAGCTCCAGGACCAGAGCCTGTCTGTAATTTTTGGGACTTCTAACGACACAAATAGCCATCGATGTTTGTTTTAACATGTTTGAAAAGTATTCAAGTCCTGTTTCTGTCGCCCAGGTCAGCAAAACAATCTGTTGATGTCTGCTGTATTTCAATAAAAACACAGCCTTTTTCAAAGGGTACTCCTCCGCTCTCTGTCGTTTATATTCATGTTTCTGTGTCGGTCTGATGTTAGAGGGGCTGAACAGTGAGGATGGACGGAAGAAGCATCTCTTTATTTTGTGGTGTATAAACAAAAAACCTTCTAATATCAGTCAATAGTTATTAGTTATTGATGACATTTGGTAATATATCGATATCTCTGTGTTCTCTTATGTCTGTGTCGTCAACATTTGAACATTTTTGAGCGGTCCGCTCTTTCTGACTGTAAACAAAGCCGTTCTCCACCTCCTCTAACCTGATTGGTTGTGAGGCAGACGCTGCTCCCCCGTGTCGTTCAGGAGCCCAAACAAAGTTAGCGTGCTACAATATCGGACAGTAGAAACCAACCAGAAAGTTCGGAAAATTGTCTGAATCCTCCTTTGGCCACGACTGCCGACACAAGCAAGAAAACAAAGTAAATACCGGAGACTCTGGAGGAATAACGGGCGCTTAAAACGGAGGTAGACCGGACAAGAGCTAAAAAGCCGGGTCAACATAAACGATGGGGGACGCTTGGGGATCTTGGTGACCCTGTAACCTTTCTGCTGGACAGGTAAACCGCTTTAACAAAGTAAGACAAGTGTCTGAATGAAGGACAGAAAGACCTGAAGAATGAAGACGCTGAAGTGTCAGGAACTTCTCCTTATCCCGTCTTACTCCCAACCTCCACCTTCATCCTGATCGTCTAAAAGGTCGTATCCTCCGATCGTAGCTGATCGTAACCATTCAAGTTAACGTGTCGATTTACAC